TCAACTTGGCCCTAGGAACTTACACCTCGAGGTTGCTGATGTTATGTTTGTGAGGCAAAGGCAAAAATGAGAAATTGGTTCTTTCTTTTTTCGGAGGGTGTGTGGGGGTGGGTACCAGGGATTGAACCTGGAGGCACTCATCCACTGAGCCACATCTCTGATCCTTTTTATTTTTGTATTTTGAGTCAGGGTCTTGCTGAGTTGCTTAGGGTCTCGATAAGTTGCTGAGGCTGGCTGTGAACTTGCAATCCTCCTGCTTCAGCCTCCCAAGTTGCTGGGATTAAAGGTGGGCCCAGTGTGAGAAATTGGTAGTCTCTTGAAGGGATGGAAACAGTACCAGACCATCCCAGATGTCCTCTGCAAATGTGCTCATGGTCACAAGTTTCATGCTGCCCTTATATTGGGTTGTTAGCTGTCACTTGTGAAAGCATGAGCATCCATCTACCCATCCATCTACACAGACCAGTGTCAGGAGTGGAAAATGAATCACAGTTTTCTTGGAACCATCCCAAGGTAGAGGTAATGCTCTTTTGAGAATCCTTGGTGGAAATGCGCTGATTAAGTCTGCTTAGTTGCTGGTGACACCCTGTTCAAAGGGGGTTCTGTGCCTCACAGAGTTTATTGATTCAATAGCCTTGAGTTCAAATGCCAGCTGCCCAGAAGTAGAAGAGATATGGGCGCAAGCTGATAAGCTTTTAATGGTGCTAATCCTGTTCACAACCTCATTTTTGTTTATCTTGAAGAAACTTTCTCACAATAAATCCTTCTGATGTTTAAACCTATAAAATAAACACATGGAGCCTGTTCGTGGCCAGTCTTTCCCCACGAGGAATTCGTTTGGTCCACCGAGTCCCACTTTTCTCTATATTTGTGTTTGTTTGTCTTATTTCTAATCCTCTCACCGCCTACATTCAGAGAACTGATCAGACCTCATGCTGGTTTGCAACAGCCCAGGACCCCAGGCCCCAAGACTCTGTTTATACTCTCTGTGCCCAGGGATTAGGCACCTTAAAAGAACCTGGTTCTACATAACTAGCTTGAAGAATTAAAATGTTCTTCCTTAGTGAAATTATCTGAGCATTGTGGTTTACCTACATTCTTCTCACCATACAACCTTCAGGGAGCAGCAATGCTGTTCCTGTGGTCTGGGACTATAAGTCACTTTTCTGCACAAGCTTCAGAGTATGTATGCAGAAGAGGACAAGCCCCTTCATGCCTCCTTTGGAGCCAGACTCTTGGGGACTCTGTGAGGTTAGGCTGAGAGCCTTGGGCCCTTGCAGACATCCAGGCATTGGATTTCTCCCAGGAGGGCATCTCTTCTCAGGCCTGTGTTCCTCTTCTCTGTCCCTCCAGAACAACGTTTATGAATGGGCCCGAGATCACCGCACCCACCACAAGTTCTCAGAAACAGATGCAGACCCTCACAACTCTCGCCGCGGCTTCTTCTTCTCTCACGTGGGTTGGCTGCTCCTGCGCAAACACCCAGCTGTCAAAGAGAAGGGGGCGACCCTGGACCTGTCTGACCTAAAAGCTGAGAAGCTGGTGATGTTCCAGAGGAGGTGAGTGAAGGGAGGATGGAGCTGGGGATGTGACTCTGGACACCTGAAGCTTAGGGAACCCATTTTTTTCTATTAGGTCTTAGAAAATAATGGTCAAGAATTTACAGTAAGTTCAAACTCATTTAAAACTCCAGTATTTTAACATTCCACAGGCCCCCAGTCTGTAGCTTACTGCTCTGTTCCTTCCTCTCCAAGCTATCTTTATGAAACCCATTAAATTAACAAACTGACCTGGGATAATCATGGATACAAAAAAATAAATGTTGCTGAGAACTTACCTTCAAGAACTTTCTACTCTACTGGGGTTATAGGAGTAATCCAAGTATCCAAATAACCATGATATAAGGCAGAGTACTGTGTGTACCTGAGAGGTAGAAAGAGGAGGGAGATTATTGAGGAGGGAACTGCTGGGTAGGTATAATGAACAGAGAACAATCACAATCCACCTATAGATAGAGACTTTCATATGTATGGGAGCAAGGACAGTGGAACATAATGAGCCAAAGCCTCAAGGAATCCAGGAAGGATATCCATCTGCTTGGAATATAGGGTGGGACAGGAAAAGGAGCACAGTGTCAGTTTCTGCAGATTCCTTTATGCGAATTTAAGATTTTATGCACTTGGAAACAGGAAACTACTATTGGTTTCCTCTGCAGTAACAGGGCACAGAGGTGTGCTTCAGAGTGGCTGCTCTTGGGTAGGTAATCACTGAGCCAGAGAGATGAGAGGCAGGGACACAGGTTGGATAGTAGGGAGCACCCTGCTGGAGAGGCAGTGGCAAGAATGTAAAGGAGTTGGAGGCAGGGAATGCCGGTGACATAGGAAATCAAAGATATGTCTGCTCAAGGGAAGGAGTCGGACAGTCAGCTCCCTTCAAGT